TAGAAATAAACACGGTGCTAAAAGAAATAATGTAACACACACGACTTTCCAAACTCCGAAAGTTTCATACCAACATAAACACTAACCCAAAAGACCATTGAAACACGAAGGTTTACAAGTGCTCTTTACCAAGAAACTTTCACTTTACCCGACTCATGGGTTTTCAAAATTATACACCGAAAAATGCACATTGATAACCACACACATACACGAGGCTCCATGCCTCAAGCACAACCCATGGTACTACACCGCCTTCTAGCTAAATCTACTAAATTTTCAAAGGTTCAACTTTACAACCTACATCTAAATCATTCTAAAGTGACTATGTGTCACCCACCTTGATTACCGATCAACTGATTAATTGCCCAAGAGTTTCCGCTCCTGGCCTTCAAACATCTACACTTTTCTCCTCAGATTCCCAAAACAAACTACTCCACTATTGTTTCCCCTTTGGAATTCTACTCATACGCCTAAATGGCAAGCACTCTCTGATATAACCATACAAGATCGAAAAGGTCAATGGCGATCACACGATCCCGTTCACACCAGATAATTTCCCCAATGATACACTCATTACTTGAGAACACGAACCACTCACCATTCTAGTAAGTACTTCGAGCGCCTGCCCACTGTAAACACCCCATTTTTGACCGTCCACAAGACTTGGTTGTGCTTGCAGGTACATCCAGCCACAAGTTTGATTGCTCGTTGAGTACTCGACTTTCGCGGCGGAACGTCACAGGTTTGAGCTTTCCAAACTCTATTTCCTTTCTGTCTCATTTTTGGACCATGTGTTGGACCTTTCAACATGATTATCATGATGCACTGCCGGCCATGAATTATTCCCTGCCTGCTACTGATGATGCCTGCCGGCCATCAGTGAGGCACTGCCGACCACAACTGAAGGCCGGTAGACCCTTTGTCTTTGCAGTAGTGAACCTTGCCGCTGCACTTGCCTTCTCAGTTCCATTTGACCAGTACATGAATTCTCAGGACTCCATAGCTTACTATCATCCATGTTCGTGTTCACCTCGGTGAAACCTCCACCCTTAGCCACTTAATCACAAACTCTCCAGCTTCCCAGGGCGAAGGCCACAGCTAAGCCTGCTATCAGCTATGCTGTGCCTTAGTACCAAGCCTAAGGGGGCTTCCTTAGTCTTGCCAGTACGACTAAGGAAGGTCCACGACTTGGGTAATGGAAATAAAGTCCCTTATGTTCGGGTTACCCTGCTCCCATCTTCGCAGGGTTGCCGTGGTAAACTGGTATTTCTGGGCCTGCTATCAGCTCGGACCAGTGTGTCTTGGGGCCTGCTATTAGCGCCAAGTTAATAAACTTTGGGACCTGTTATCATCCCTAAGCTAGTAATGTCTTGGGGCATGCAATCGGTGCCAAGCATTAGCCTCTACTTGCAGAGGGAAGCCTCTCTGAAAGGCTGTTATCACCTTGGTAGAATATTCCCTCTGCAACTTAGTTGCTGCGGTAGTAGTTGTTATGGTAACCATTTCCCGTAGCAAGTCCAAATAGCAGAACCGAGAATATTAGAGATGGCGGCGCCGACATAATGCCTCCGCAACTTGGGCACTGCAAGTACTGCCTCAGCAACTTCACCACTGCAAGCGTTGTTTCTACAACTTGACTTAGGCATTTTTGCTCGCTGAGTCCATCTGGAGCCCTGGTGGGTCAGAGCTACCTCGGCCTACTTGTTGGCCCACTTCCCTCGGGCTTTGGCCCATGTTCCTTTCTTATCCCTAGTCACCTCTTTGGGGCGATCTCAGTGCTTAGGTCCATACTTAGTTTGGGGTTTAATTTTTGACCCTCTATATTTTGCCCTATACGTGTGTGGCAGATACGTTCCCTGTTTCCCACGCATGTATAATGTCAACAAGTAATCTAAGGGTTGCGTCGGTTGGGTCAGAAGTTGCATCGGCTCTGAAAAGGTATCCTTTTGACTGCCAGGTCATAATGACCTAGAGCAGCTTGCCGACATCCTTTGTTGATTTTTTCTTTATAAATAACGCCCTTGGGTCCACTGGTCCCCCACTTCTTCCCAACACACCTTTCTGTCTCCTTTGTCTTCTTTTCTCCCTTGTCCCCACTTTCCAAAGCCTTTTTGCCTTTCTTTATTCCTTTTCATGGCCAGCACAAGGTTTCTTCCCGACAAGGCTGCCCCACCCCCTACTAAGTGGAGGCAGGCCCCTTACTTCAGAGGGCTAGCTGACTCCTTCTGGAAGGCGGTTGACTTCTTCATTCCTGACGCCCTTCCGCTAGAGGAGCCCCTGCTTCTTTTTGGGGAGGTCATTTTAGATGATGCAAACATGGTGAATCCAGTCTCTGTGCTGCGGTTTCACGTGGAGTATGGTGACTTTCCACATTCATACATCTACTATCGCACTCATTCGGGCCCTCCAGTAGATTGGTCCTTTTAGGTTGACAATGCCATTGCAGATGGCAATTTTGAGCAGCATCTGCGTGATGTCTGCCTTTTCAATGCCATTTTGATCTTAAGGGAGTTATCGGTGCGTAAGGTGCAGACCAACACCGATATAATTGTCTCATGTTGGAGCCATGACACTCACACTTTTGCCTTGGCATGGAGGAGATAACCCCGACCCTGGAAGATGTTGTTGTCCTTTTTTGCCTCAGCACCCGTGGAGATTACCCTTTTGACCCTGCGTCTCTGACCCCTGCAGAGCAAGTTGCCGTCACTGCTCTTCAAACCGCCTTTCGGGAGGCACGGAAGTTTGGTTCCTGGTATGATCTTAGAACCGGGGAACTGCTCCAGGAGAGGCCTAAAAGAGATAAGACTACCTATCTTTCTTGGCTGAAGCATTTCTTTAAGGACTTGCAACCAGTCGTAGGGGACATTATTGAGGAGAGCCGTGACTCTGTAGTTGGTCTGGGCTACCGAGGTGACTTGTACTTAGCAGCGTTCATCAGCTATTTTATCTCATTCTTCGTCCTACCTAGTAAACCTGCCGAAAACATCAATCCCCTGGTATTTCCCTTAGCTGTAAAGCTTTGCAGCGGTAATCAAATTCCCCTGGCTCCCGTCTTTCTAGGTAACTTATATTTTCGTCTTGACCTTATCTATTTGGACATGGAGCGATCCATGGGCCGCTATGACGTGTGGAGCTTTGTGCATACCCAGTTCCTAACTACCTTTTTCTATGAGAGATTTCTTGCCATGGGCCCCATCCCTAAGGAACACGAGCCTTTCTTTACTGATGAAGTCTTTGATGTAGAGGGCCACACTATTCTAGATGTAGAGGGTCAGCCTGTCACGAGGCAAGTGCGTCAGTCCCTCCCTCGCATCCCTCTGTGGTCTGGCCTTGGCACCAATAGGCCCTTTTCAGACTATGTTGACCATATGGAGGAGTGCGTCTTCCGCCCTTTCACTCAGCCTCTTCCAGGCATTTCTGTTGTCCCTTTCTATATGTGGGCTTGAGGTCGTTCCGATAAATGTTGGGCCTGAGGCCGTTCTATAATTATGATCATGAAAAAGATTACAAATTTACGATGTTATATATTTGCTTTGATAATGGGCTCATTCATTTAAACCTCTTTACTGTATTATTACTCATTGAGCTTTGCTTACTTTATATTATGTGTGTATATGTAGGTGTTCAATAGCATGAAGCCCAACCTTAGAGTCAGCCTTAGGAATTGTTTTTGAGAGCCCAACCTTAGAGTCAGCCTTAGGAATTGTTTAGTGTGATGCCGTTAGTTCTTCAAGCTGTAGTTTTGGTGAGAGAGAACATGGCTGGCCGAGCTGAAGAAATACTAGGCCAATTTTTAGAGAAGTTCCTCGACAAGTCGAAGGTTGTTCTCCTTGCAAGGGTGCAAGTTGCTGCTGGTGCTGGCCACCCTCAAGTTGTAGTTGAGTCCCTCTCAAAGATACCGAACATTCAACACATGCCAGCCACTATCGCCACCCTTATATCTCTCAAAGAACGTACAGGAGATATTGACGGTGCAATTGCTGTGTTTGATTTTGCGATCCAATGGTGGTCAAATGCCATGGCTGAAGACAACAAGCTCAATGTCATTATGACAACATGCTCACCATAGATGAAAAATCATGTCACTCACTACAGACATCAAACCATAACAGAATTCATAGCTTTATAAACAATCTTGATACTTGTCAAAAGATAAAAATTAAATAACATGACACAAATCTATTTCCTATGTTGCATGGACTCATGTATGGGTACTGAATGTGGATATGAATCTTAAGTGTCAAATTTTTCCAGTTCCAATGTCCAAGAACACAAACACGCACTACAATAAAATTGAATTTTTACGGCTTGCATTGCATGCCGTAAAAACTCTTTCACGGCATGTGCACAAATGTCGTTATATGACATGCCGTAGAAAGTTGAGCGTCATTTACGACATGCCGGTAAATTTGTAAAAAGTAATAAATTAAGCATTAATGGCATACTTTGTATGTCGTATATAATTTTTTACGACATTTTTATCATGCCATAAATCATTATACTTTCTATGGCATAATTTTGCATGCCGTAGAAGGTTATTTTAAATATATTTATGGCATACTATGTATGTCGTATATAATCTTTTACGACATTTTCTTGCATGTCATAAATCATTACACTTTTCACGACATAATTTTATATGCCGTAAAAATTTATTTTCAGTATATTTATGACATACTTTGTATGCCATATATAATCTTTTACAACATTTTCTTACATGTCATAAATTATTACACTTTTCACAACATAATTTTGTATGCCATAGAAGGTTATTTTTAATATATATATATATATAGAGAGAGAGAGAGAGAGAAGAAAAGCAAATGCAAAGTTCAATATATGAACACATGATATCACTAAAATGCCCACTTTAGTACTTGAAAAGCAAATTACAAGATCAGATAGCAAATTATATGTACAAATGAAAGCAAAAAGATTATACACAACACAAGCCAGTCAAGTCTAATTTATTATTAGGAGTAGTAGAGAGAGCTAAAGAATCAATTAACTTGGCCAATATAGAAAGGCCTTACCCCAATAATAATTGTAGGGATTCGAAGAGCAAATGTTGCAGCAGCATCAACAGGTGCAAGCACACATTCCAAAACAACAGAAAAACACCCAGCTTTCTGCAAAGCCAGGGCAAACTCAACAACCTGCAGAAAAATAAATCCATCTTAAAAGGAAATCTCTTCTTCAAAGCTTGCAAACTTATGATTTTTTTTGGAAAATATATAATAGTTGTAGGGTCATAACAGTTTTATACACTCTGCATCACTCAGCAAATTCAAAATTGAGAAATAAAAACAATTTATATGTCAGGAGTCAGGACTATTCACATGTATATATATATATATATATCGTGCAACAAAAGAGTGAGAATGTATTATAAAAGCAAACAATTAAGACAAAACTTGTATGGCATGGGCATACCTTAAAGAATTTTCCACTAGCTAAAAGAATAAAACTTTCACAAATAGAATTGTAAAAGAGGTTATGAGTGAGTTGCACTTTATAAGGTGCCAAACATTAGCCTACTTTCCACAAAATATCACCTTATAGAACTACCCATCTCCCTACTTTCTTTTTGGAAGAGGAAATTGCTTATCATAACAAAATGGTTCTCCTTTATAATTGTGAGGTTACCACTAAAGTATTGTACTCAAGGTTGTTAAAATCGGGATCCTAAGTAGGATCGGTGAGAGGTTCTGGTGGATCGGTGAGAGGATCGTAAGATCCTACTTTCTATTAAAAAAAAAGATAAAAATTAAAATTAAAATGATACATATTAAAAATAAAGTGAAAAATCATAAAATCTACGATCCTACTTGCGATCCTACCTACGATCCTATATGATCCCATACGATCCTACATGATCCCATGCGATCCTACTAGCGATCCTGTTATAACATCGATTCTACAACGATCTGGATCGTTTTGGCAAAGTAGGATCGTACATGATTCGGATCGCGATTTTAACAACCATGATTGTACTTTCAATTGGAAATCCACAGGAAAGATTTAGGAATGTTATATGCGTGGAATGCCGTGAAGCCATCAAACAAGAAAATTTTAGATAGAATGACACTAATTAATCAAATATACAAGGAAGAGGATCTCTAATTAAGTTGTATTCATATTGTTTACCTTTTCGTATATACAAACTACAATTTCCATCAAATTTGAAAGATACTGACTCTTTATAGAATTAACGGCCACAAGCAAAAGAAATTGAGTTGGTTTGGTTTTGTGACGATAGCGGTTTAGAGTAACATCTAAAATAATGAATTTGACCAGATTGATTTGGTTCTATGCTCTCCAACTAATCACTTCATATAAGTAATTAGGGCTTTCAAATAGCTTGTTGGCTCATCTATAATCATGATGGTGATGATTGATATATTCATGTTCAGTAAGTCTGGAATCAGATTTGTCCCATGAATGTTGAAAATTGAATGTGTATTATGAAATATATACGTATAATGAATCTTAACCACTTGTTTTGATATTTTTTGATAAAATATTTGGAATTATAGGGTATGTTTGGTTTGTGTTTGAGAGATGTGTTTTAGAGATAAAAAGTACGAAAATATGTTTGGTTTGATTTTTTTTAAAAGATGTTTTGGAAAATTATTTTGAGATAGAGTTTTGGAAAAAGTGATTGATTTGATATGTGTGAGAGAGAGATTTGTTTGGAAAACTTGTTTGGTTTACAAGTTTTGAGAATTTTTTTTGAGAAAATTTGTTTAGTTTGATTATTTTTGAAAACTTATTTGTAGAAAAAATTTCCCAAAATTTTTTCAGAAAATCAAACCAAACGAGCCCATAATATAACCCATTAATGTTAAGCGATATTTGTGTTTTTGGAGTTAGTGAGAAGTGACCTCTAAATAGGTTGCAGACCTTTTACAAACGGAAGAATTTATAAACTTGAGCTTGAGGAACACCGTAGATCTCTTTATTTGTGGTTTTGATGTAGAATTAGGCTTGGCATGCCTTGATTGAGATTGTTGTTGTTGGTGGCGGTACTTAAAATGCTGGAAGGAACGGTAAATACATCTTCTACTTGGTTTACCTCGAAAATGTTAAATGGTGAATACTTTTCAATCCCCATGGAGGAAGTGCATCTATTGCAGCATTCTTAGGACCCTTCTATTGATGATTTGTTCAATTTTTTTTTATAAATTTAAATTGAGATGTTTACTGGAGTTAGTCTTCGTGAATTTGCTTGAAATTATTTTGAATTTGTAATTTATTGGCTTCATGATTCTAAAGTTGGTTCTTGGGTAATGTTTGACCCCTCATTGAACTAATTTTTGGATTTTGTAGAGATTCTTGAATATTTTTTTTTTTTATATATATATATAGGCGTTTTTTTAACAGTTTCAATGTAGAAGTGTTTTATTTCTGGTTATTCTAGCTTTGTATACTGGTGGCACCGCCTTGATGCCTTCTAATAAATGTACTCTTTACTTGTCAAAAAGGAAATAAATAAATAAAAAATCCTCCTAGCAAAGAAAGAAGGCTACTAGACTAGTATAAAATGAATAGAAAAGAAGAAGAAAAAAAAATTCACGAAACTCCTATTTTTGGTCCCGTTATAACTAGTTTTATGCACTTATTTTGGCTACTGCATTGGATTGCTAATTATTTCAACTTGGCAATTTATATATTGATTCATCAAGCTCAAAATTAGTTGGAAGAGTGGAGTCTTCTTTTCCACGAAAGGTTTGCTATTATAATGATTGAATAGTTAATTCCTTATATGTGATATCCCTGTTCCGTAATATGTTAATTGGTCCTTAACATGAATGTGATTCTGTGTTTAATATGATTTTGTGTGCCATTATGTGAAAATATGTGGTTTTGAATTTGTATCTGTTCACCGTAGGAATATCTGTTTGATTGTCTGCTTTGGAAATTAAATTGAAGGCCCTATCGGCCACCGAAATCGAAATTGGTCGCGCCATTGTGATTGCATAATTTTTAGAGCCTACGGTGAAGTTTAATTAAAAAATTTATTCGGATCAGAATTAATTGATTTAATTGATGAATTAGTGTCCAATTATTTATTATTATTAAATTGGAATTAGTGGGATTTGTTGTAATAAGGCACTACACCCTCAAATTTTCCCTTTAGCTTCATTTTGGCCGATTCTAACCTTAAGAGAGAAGAGAGGCCTGGCTAGAGAGGGAGAGGGTTGAAGTTGATCATTGAAGCTTAAATATTTGAAGGCCAACTCTAGATTTGACCATAGATTGGAAGAATTGAGCCTCTAGGTAAGTGAATTCATGAGTTTAATGTTGTAAATTGTGAATTCAAAGTTTGATTAATGGTCAAGAACATGAATTAGTTTGATTATAAGGAAATTGAGTTGTATTTGTTGAATTTAAAGTCAATAGATGGATGCATGTACGAAATTACTATGAATTTCCATATTTGAGCACAATGTGTATGATTCGTGTTGAATTTTTGGTTTAAGTCCATATATTTGATCATCTTTTCACCAATTAAGTTGAGGATATTGTGTATAGTCCACATGCAAGTGCAAATCATGGAAGTATGAACCTTAAATGTTTGAATTTAGTGTGTTGGTGATGAGTTTGAGTCAATTTGGGACATGCATGTGTTTGATTCATGAAATTGAGCTTCATTGAGTTGTAATCTGGGGTTTATACCATGTTAGTACAAGTGTATTTGAAGTTTGAGCTATTGCATGCAAGAAATGTTGGATGGAATGTCAAGTTGAAGCTCAAGAACATAGCTGGAAAACCCAGAAAATTTGATGTCCGCTCGAGCGGGGAAACCGCCGCTCGAGCGTGAATTTCGTGCTCCCAGTATTTTTGCAGACTTGGATGTCCGCTCGAGCGGACAAGTTCATGCTCGAGCAGGGAGCTATGTAGACAGACCTTCAGCTCGAGCGCCAGACTTCATGCTCGAGCGTAATTTTGATGCGTCTAGCACTTTTGCAGACCTCATGGGTCCGCTCGAGCGGGGAAGTCCACGCTCGAGCGGGGACCCAATTTTCTGAAATTTTGAAAAGGCATTATGAGTTTTGTTTTCCATTCTCTTTCACTTCTAAGTACTCTTAGGCATGCATTGAGCATTGTAATTGAGTTAAAGAGATAAGAATGAAGCCTAAAGAGGAAAATGTGAATTTAGAACGGATTGAGTTGTTTGTCACCCTTTTGTGTTCATGGAATGTGTAGGGTCGAGCTCTAGGGCAAACCAACCAACCGATCACTGTGAGTAATATCTTAACAAAGATATCTGAAATATGTTGTTATCCAAATTACTTACTTCCATGTAAGTTTTATAAGTTCGTTGAATTGATTGGTGGACAATGTTATTATGACCAAATGAATGGGCCAGAGGCCGTTTTGACATGAATAAATGGGCCAAAGGTTGTGTAGACACGCCCGCGTGGGGCCCTCGCTACAGTTCGGACTCGATTTGTGTCACGGTTCTTAATCTGAACCAAAGAATCCAAATCCGGCAAATCGTTTTGAGAAACATATTTTTGAAAAGAAGTGCCAAACATTGACTGCTTTGCCAGATACAGAGTCGCCACCTAAATATTTTATTTTGGGGGAATTTAGGAAACCCTGACTCGGTGCCAAAGGCCACGTGTCCGTCATCACCAAAGTTGCCTCGGCTCGGGAACTTGGGTACGATCGGGGAAGGTCAGCTATGAGCACCCCCTCTCGCCCGATCCGAAGACCGGCCTCTACTAACCGTGATATCCGTTTTTGAAAACGTTATGTGCTCTTATTCCAGTTATTAGCCTAGAATTACTATGTTATGCGCACAGCAAACAAGTATAGACTAGATTGCCTAATTTGGAAATAAGCATTGCATATCCGTTTGTCTTGAAAAGCACTTTGGAATTTGCTACTCGCAAGTAGGCTAAAATACGGATTTCAACGAGTTTTTCCAACTCAGACAATCCAACCTTCACCCACAGGCATTCAAATAGTTTATCACATAAGCGTCTAGCCACATAGTAAGCATGCTGCCATGATAGCATTCACACACATGCGATATGCTAAAGCATGAAAATACTTACATCGTACTTCGTGCCAAAACAATAAACTAGTTAGCCAACATGCATGGTCCTAGTTCATGTCAAATTGACTAATGCAACACATACAGGAT